TTTTAGCGTTGTTTGTTGGACTGCATAATCTATACTATTATAACTTATGGGCATATTTTACATTTACATTAAGCACACAGCACTCTTTGGAATAGGACACTGTATTATGGCATCAAATTGTAAACTAGTTCATGAGTTATTCTATGGTGTACTCAATGTCATCTTTCTCTCATAACACATGCACACACATACACACACATAAAGCAAAATCAAGTCTTGCATCACTTTCCTTATGGTATGAATTAGAGTGAAAGTTTGCTAGTGATTCTATGATATAAAGCTTTGTGTAAAGCTCAGCATACAGGTAAATGATGCCTCACATTCTTCACAGGGATACATGAGTCATAGAAACTATATGCTCTGCCCTAAGGATTCCCAACAGCTTCAAAGAAGAGACACACACATTTGTAGACGCGTACTACGTAGGGACTGCAATTCATGGTGAACATTAATATTAATCATGTCAACTGCATAGAACCCATTGTTTGCAGGGAGAAATAACCTTGACTAACATTTATTTTCAGAAACTGTGCAAACATCTTTATATGCATTAGCACACAACCAATCAGTACTCGCTTTGCTAACGACTGGTGCCATGTGTCTTAGGTTAACATTGTTTGGATAATATTTGAAATGAGTAAGTTTTTTATCATAACACTTACTATGAGTCATGTCAAAAAACTTCAATGCAAAAATTAACAGGGTTTTAAAATAATTTTTACAAAGATAATGCAACCGATGTTTTGATGTTATACTTTATAGCCTCCTAGCAGTGCATACCCTGGACAAAGACTTTTGGGGAAGGTGAAAGAGGTGACTTAAATTCTTAACTTTATCAATTAGAACTTCCAGCTGTTAAAGATATTTCCCTAATTATTTGGAATGCGCAAGTACATATTATTGATGTTAAAATTGTCAACAGTTTCAAATGTAACTCAAGTTACTATTTTTGAATTAAAAAAAATAGAATGAGACATTTCTCATAATCTAGCAATTACCAGTCTTTGTATAGGCATTCATATGTATCTTCTTGCTTTATATAGATATTTTGCCTATAAAATATGGGGCAAAAATCTTTGATATAGAAAAAGTATTATGTTTTCCACTTATTTTTATGAAGGAAAAAGTAACTAAAAGATCAAATTAGGAAGTGTCATTATTTTCACAATGATGGGACTTTAAGGCACCAGGATATTTATGAACCAGGTGTCACACCTCACTAGTTCCCAGTGTGGACGACAGAATCAGAACTCCTGAGTTTAGGGTTCTCTCTATCTTTGCGACAGTGGTTATGATTCTTGTCCTCTTCGTACTTTAGTTCCCTTCCTATACAATGAGGAGACCTCAGAAGCCTATTGTGAGGAATTTGGATACTAATTTATATAGAGCCCATGAAATGATGTCCAGCACACACTAAGTATTCCACAAATGCAGATACTGTGATGTCTGCTTTAAGTTGTTAGATTGTACTTGCCCAGTGTAGTAACCACTTAGGTTCACCTCCTTTACTCCGGAGCCTCTTCTCTTCCCGTGGACACTTCATAGAATTTTAGGTCCCAGTCATTTCTATTTTGAAACATTCTTCCATTTTATCACACATGCAACTACCTTTTCAGATTTCAAAGTGGTTATTAAGGTAAAGAAAGAAAAGAACTATATTTCCTTAAAATTCAATAACTCTCTTCCAAGAAGATACTCACCAGTTGAGGGTAGCACATATTCTCTGTGCTTTAAAAAGTATTGGAGAGTTTTGTAAACCTCCCCATGTTCACAGGCAGATAATGAGGGGAAACAGTGTGTCTTCTGGTGAAAGTAGAAGTGTAGAGATAACCAGGATGAGACACAGGTCTCTGAAAATAATTCAGGAAATATTTATGAAAGCATTTAAGAAGACCTCTGGACTTAGTAAACACTTCCTCATACGTCATTCCTCTGCAAATACGTGATTTTATGGGCATCCTGTTTTGAACTCCCTGCCTGGTCCAGAATTCCTTAACACACACTCTTTTTAAATATATATATAATTGATTTCAGAGAGGAAAAGAGAGGTAGAAACATCAATGATGAGAATCATTGGTTGGCTGCCTCCTACACGCCCCCTACTGGGGATCCAGCCAACCTTGACATGTGCCCTTGACCAGAATCAAACATGGGAGGGACCCTTCAGTCTGCAGGCCAATGCTCTATAAACTGAGGCAAACCGGCTGGGGTTTAACATGCATTCTTATTTAAGTCTTTCTTTCAGAGATTTTACCTCAATTTGTAAATAAGGGTTTACTTGTATAATTACTTTATTAAAGTCTGACCCTCTGAAATGGACAGGGTTCACTCATCTTCCTGCTCACCACTGACCTCCGGTTCTCCATCCAGCACCTGGAATAGAGGGGTACTTAGGAGGCAGAGATGGTACGATTCTCCCCATACCAGAGATGTGGAACTTGGAAGGAAAAAGTCATGTCAAATCTACCAGGTGAGGTAAAAGTAACAAGGCAATGCTTTCTCTAAAATAAGTAACAGAAACTAGAAAACTGGAACAGATCTGAGTCAGGAAAGAAAGGACATGTGTGCATCACAGGATTTATATCTCAATGACAATCAACATCCTATATAAATAGTCTTGGAAAATTCAGACTCAATTTCAATATCAAAAATACTTGTGTCCCATGGTGTGCAACTCTCCTGACCACAGCACTGCCCTCCAGCATCCCCAAAATAACCCTGCAGCCATGCTTTGGTGTGGAAAGTTTTTTTCACACCCAAAGATCATGTTTTCACATAGTTCCAGTTGGATTCTAGTCCCTTTTCACTTATAATGTTGACTAGGTGTGGATTTGAAATGTGTACATTGAATTTAATTAAACTTAAAGACAAGAATTAAGGAAATTTATGAATGTCAAAATAATTTGGAAACTCATTATGTAAAGAAGCATTTAAATTACTTAAAGAATAGCTGATGAAGATTTAAGAGACATCTGTCCAAGAGAATGAATATCATGAGAGCTCAATAAGCTCAAATGAAGAGTAATTCTCTGGAGTTCACCCCACTGAGACCTTTTTCAACACCATAGATTATTTAGAACAAATGAAGATTTAAAAGTTATTTCAACTTAGAATAATGAGAAAATTTTGATTTCAGTCTTCATTGCTCCACAACTCTGTATAAAAGTGTTTGCCATTGGGAAAGGCATGACGTACATGAACACCCTCAAAATATAGCCTGCTTTTAATTACGGACAGCTGAAAGAGAATGGTATAAGTCATCTTTAAAAGCTCCATAACCTCTTTTCAGAGTGATTGTATTAAAGATTATTAAAGCTGACCAAAAAATCTGCAAGATCCTATTATGAAGAAAATAATGACCACACTTTGAGCAAAGTGCAAACAAATAGATTCAGCTATCTGCTTTATAATCTACTTTCCTATTGAATCTTAACTGCTGAAAAGCTTGATTGTGCTTATAAATACTACTTTAATCTATAATTGTATAGGAAATTAGGTTCATACAACAAAAGGAAACTACTCAAAGGACAGCTGCCATAATTACAGTATTAAAATGAGAAAGAGTTAATTGCCCCCAACGTGTAGCACACAATTAAGGGGATCATCTTGGTAGAGATGTGGGAAATATATCAAATATAGACTTTAGGTACAATGGGGTTCTAATATATATGTGTATATATATATATGCACATATATATGTACGTATATATATGTACATATATATATATATATATGATGACTAGGTTAAGAGTACATCAAAAGTCCAGCTGGCTCGAATATTTCATAACTGTATGACCTTGGGTGAGTTATTTCACCTTCACCTCTCTGTGGATTTCCCCATCTATAAACATAGATACTATTATTACCTACTCTTCCCTTTATGGTGGTATAAGAATTAAGTGAGATAAGAAAATTAAAGAACATAGAACTGTGCATGGAATTTGTGGAGAGCTGTTTTTTCCTAAACTTTCTACCTTTGGAATAAACAAAATAAGTGGGTTTTTTTTGTAAAATAAGTTAATCACTCCCTGTCCTTCCACAATATAGGCAATTGTTACATTCAAAAGAAAACACAACATACATTAAATACCAAGTGACCATAATTGATTACAGGAACCCTTGAAGGTAAACATCAACTCAAAAGGCCTTTTTTTGGAGCAAGAATGAAAGAATGAATCTAATGGTGTTTACTTCACGTGCTTACCTTTCCTATTTCCCCCCTCGGCTCTACACTTATCTTCTCAAAACCAGACCCCACGCCCGCCACAGGGAAAGTTGTACTCCCCAGTCCCAGCCGCGGTGCCTTGCGCCCGAGCTCCGCCTGGCCACCCCTCCGCTCCCCTTGGGGCTGGTCCTCGGACAGACACCTCTCCACCTCCCACTTGGGGTTCTAGAGCCAACCTCCCCTCCGCCCTCTGTCCAGTGGAAAGCTCCAAAGTGGGCAACAGGCTACACATGCCGGATCCTCACCTGGGTGCCCAGCCGCCCCCG